CCCAGACATTATCGACAGAATAATCCAACACTATTCAAGGCAACTTGACGAGACACACGAGTTCTCCTGCCCCCTTCTTCTCAAACTCTCCCATTTTCGATGGTTCACAGATGTTTTAGCACCTAGTGACCTCGACTGGGTCAGTCTGGTTGCCATACGCGTCCACTATCGAAATCTTTCATATGTTTCACTCCTTCTGATGGACCAAATTGTGTTTTCGCATTCAATGGAGCACCTTCAATTCTGGTTAGAATGCGCTCGCAGCTACTTACAAGGAATAAGATGTCGCTATTCGACAAGCACGACGGCGGCCCGACACATGTGGCCAAATAGTTTGGTTGGTCCCGGTGGCACTGTTCACATCCTCCGAGAAGTGCTTCTGTGGGTCCTGAAAAGATCCGGCGCAGTTCGTTCTTTGGCTGGTGGAGATGGAGTAGGAGACGACAATGACGTCCTTGATCTGGAAAAGATTGCAACCAAGAACAGAAAGGATGCTAATAACAAAGCCGAGAACCAGGTTTATATGACGCCCCAAAGGTTCGAATTTGTTTCAATACTACCGGAACAAGAATGGGAACAATGGATTGCACACGTTCGAGTCGCCCTCATGAGATGTTCATTAAGTGGAGGAATGGGAATAGTCACCGAGTCTGCAAGATACGTGAGGGATCCCGAAAGTATCTGCTGTCATACGGGAAGTGGCGCCCTTGGTTATACCGAGTTACTATGATAGGCAAATATATATATCTTACTTCCTGTAGTCAGATGTACCAAACAGCTAGGTCTTGATTCAGTCCAACGCCCTGCCCGCTGCCTACCTTGCCAAGCTCATAGATTACTTAATGTTGGTCTCGACGAGACTTATACACCGCAGACTCCTTGCAACCCTTGAAAAAGCACTTTCGGGGTACGGCACGTGACTTGTAAACAATGGGTGGACCCGATCGTCGACATACTATAAAGTATTCTGTGTAGGAAATCCATTTGAAAAACGAAGGGGTAATGTGCCTTCTCTGTCAGAGTGCCGAAAGCTCCACTGCCAACCTCCACAGCCGGCCGCTAATGGCCACTGGCCTGGAAGTTGCTTTACCTTCAACACACGGTTGGCCCCAACCAACACGCTCTCCTCCTTTCCTGAACTCTCAAGTTGAATCCCATCTATGGCGTCGAGGCCATTTCACAAGCCCATCAAGGCACCTACAAAGCTATTTGGGCAGGTGAAAGAGTCCGCTCGACCAGAAGATCCATTGACGATAACGGACGACACTACGGCATGGGAAATATACAACCACAGAGCTGCAGAGGTCGACAGAGATCTTTTGAAAGACTGGAATGATAACCTCAACACGCTGCTCATTTTCGTATGTCGCATATTGACTTGCTCCGATGTCAGGCTTATTAGTTCAACAGGCAGCCTTGTACTCTGGCATTCTCACCTCCTTCATTACGGAGACTTTGGGTCTCTTGCAGGAGGACTCTGCCGAGACAACTCGCGACATTCTTCTGGTGATTACAAGGCAATTGGCCAACAATTCTATACCAGCCTTCGAACCAGCACCATTCACAGCCGAAGCATGGGCTATAAGAGTGAACGGCTTCTTCTTCGCGAGCATAATGTGCAGTCTTGTCGTCGCGTTATTCGCCGTACTCGCCTTACAGTGGATTGCCGGGTACGATGCCGGACTCACCACGCCCTCTCCCAGCAAGCGTGCGGCTCAACGACAGCTGCGCTATATGGGAATGGAGAGGTGGAAGTTAAACAACATCATCCTTTCTCTTCCTCTCCTGGTGTTCATCTCACTCTTCCTCTTCTTCATCGGCATGGCCGACTGGTTGTGGCACATCAACCGGAGCATCTCCGCAGTAGTGATGGCAGGTGCCGCAATCGGAGCCGCCGTCTATCTTTTCACGACCGCCATCAGTACGGTTTGGATTGAGGCGCCATTCCGAACTCAAACTTCGAAGACTCTGGCAATCGTCAGCAGGGAAATACTCGTATGGCTGAGAATGGTCCTAGTCCGCTTCCCTTTGAGGGTATATAAAGAAAAGCTTCTCGCCACCGAGTGGGCAGAATCCAAATACCAGATTGGTGTAGCATGGCGACAAATCCGCGAAGCGACGGCGTGGCCACCCAAAACATTTGCCAAATGCGAAGAGCAAAGGGCCGATAGCATCAGAACTCTTCATGTAGATAGCCTGATGTGGTTGGCCAACTCGATCGATATCCTCCCAAGCTCCCGTAACTCTATCCTGATATTGCTCCAAGAGTTTATGGAGCTTCCTCCGCACATCCTCCTCAAGAGAGAGTGGTTCATAGACGCGCCTTGGGAGAATATATTCACCATGTTGTGCAAGCCATACTTTGGCAGGAATAGTTTGGAAGACTTTACGGCCGAGGACCTCGAGAATCTGGCATTCCTCTGCCGGGCACTCGGCATGATCTTCACAAATATCAAGAATGAAGCATTCGAACAACTTTATATAATCCTTGAAAGGACGAAGGATGATTCACTAGGAGCCAGTGTCTGTTTGGCCCATCATAATTACGACTACGCACAGGAATTCCCGGGGCCTTGCCTGGAAGATGGCTTCATCTGCGCTTGTCGAGCAATTCGGGAAATATCCCCAGACTACTTCCATTATTTCCTTTTGTATATTCGAGATCACCAGGAACACCCGGTCTTCAAGCTCGACATATCGTATACTGCTGTCGAGGCACTCGCATCAGCGTATTCTCTAACCTCCGAGGCTATTCGCAATCCTTCTTCCGCTACATTAATACATCCCAAATCGGTCGATACTATTTTTGACGTATTATCCCATAGTATGAGAGAAACGATCGATCAAGAGCGGACTCCAGTCAACCGTTACGTTTCTGCGATGGAAGACGGAATTTATGACAAACGGGAGATATATAGAGCAATGTTCCGTTCACTTGTACAGCAAATGTTTGCCCATGTCGC